AAAAAAAAAAAAAGACACTACTTCTGCCTTTTAGGAACACACAATTTGGTGAAAGGAACAGGAGAGCTGGACACATGAGTGCCAGGGGATTGCCAAGTCCTGGAATATTTTTATCTAAAATTTGGTAACGGACCATTTTATTTTATTTATTTATTTATTTATTTTTTTGGTTGCAGCCATCATTGTTTGGTGGGCCGGGGCTGGATTTGAACTCGCCACCTTAGGTGTATGTGGCTGGTGCCTTAGCCACTCGAGCCACAGCCGCCGAGCTGACCTTTTTATTTTAAATGTAAAACAAGCATGGATCTATTATAGGGTAGGTTCCAAAATGAATTTTGGAGCTGAAATAGATTCCAGAGAGCTCACAGAATGGGCCTGGCATATAATAGATGCTCATGAAACACCTTTTGAATGACTCTCATGCTGTCCTTTCCATCCACACTGACCTGAAAGTATCTCCTGTTTTCTCTGATTGGTTCACTGCCATCCACCCTCAGCTCTGTCCTGTTTGCCCTGTGCTCTGCTCCCTTCTGCTCTAACTGCTTTCTTTCCCCCTGTTACCCAGGAAGCCACTGTTGCTGAGATTGCCCCAGTTATGCCAGAGGAACCTGATGTCCTTGCTGATGGCTGTTTGGCCATCACTGCCTGAAAGTGGGCTCCTCTCTGTGCTACAGATTGCCCTGCAGGACCTGGTCTCTGACCCTGATGCCTGGCTCTGTACCCTGGGAAAATTTCTGGAAAGGGATATGGGGGTTGGAGCCTCCATAGAGGGAGCTTCCTTACTGTCCAAAAGGTGCCAGACACAGCTCCAAAGCCTATGTAGGCACCTGGGTCAGGGGGGCAGGAGGTTGAAATTGCCCCAGGTTCCAGACCCTAAAGAAGAGGAGAACAGGGACTCCCAGCAGGCTGGGAAACGCAGAAAGGAGCCAGAGGAAGCACCTGCAAGTCCTGAGGAGATGAGAGCCTCCAAAAGGTTCAGGTATTCTGAAAGGGGAGAAGAAGAAGAGGAGCATGAGGAGGAGAGACCTGCATGTGAATCACTGGAATCCCTGGTGGGCGAAGGAGCTGCATCTCCCATTAAGAACCACCCTGTCCTGGAAGCTGAGATCAGCAAGGCTAGTCCAAGTCTGGAGGCTGCTAAGAGTGTAGCTGAGAGTTTTGAGTTGCCCAAAGCTATCCAGGTACTGTGGTGGGGAGGCTGGAATTACAGTAATCCTTTAGGAATGGTGGGTTTATCCATGATGAAGGTTGGTTGAGACACTGTTACCCAATTGGGATTTGGGATGACTCTGTAGTTCAAGGAAGAAGGGGGAGGAGGATGGGGTTGAAGGAATGTTGCCTCCACTCTACATACTTTTCTTTTTTTTCTTAGTAAACATTTTTATTGAACTACATCTATACATACAGAAAAGTGCACATATTATAAGTATATAGCTTGATAAATATTTCTAAGGTGAGTGCCCCTATGTAACCAGCACCTAGATCATGAAACACAACATTACCAGCACCTTTTTTTTTTCGAGACAGAGTCTCAAGCTGTTGCCCTGGGTAGAGTGTCGTGGCATCACAGCTCATAGCAACCTCCAACTCTTGGGCTTAAGCAAGTCTCTTGCCTCAGCCTCCCAAGTAGCTGGGACTATAGGCGCCTGCCACAGTGCCTGGCTATTTTTTAGTTGTAGTTGTCGTTTGGCAGGCCTGGGCTGGATTGGAACCCACCAGCTCTGGTGTATGTGGCTGGCGCCCTACCTGCTGAGCTACAGGCACCCAGCCACTCTCCACATACTTTTTAGGAGAGATGGGGAAGGGGGTTACTGGAAACACTTGTCCTAATTATCTACAGCATAGGGGTAAAGGGTGATAGGCAAAAGTGGGGGCTCTGGAGCTATCCCTGTCACCTCATCCTCTGGGATGGAGGGGAATCATGCCAGCATCCAGTCTATCTTCTCAGTCCAGGGCCTGGGTCTACTCCCATTTGGGTAAGATACAGAGAAGACAATAGACAGCTGGATTTCACATGAGTCTTGTCTAGAGTGGATTCTCAGGCTGTTTTCAAGATAGCAGCTTCCTCTTCTTAGCTGTTTTGAATCATCTTTGTCTACTAGCTACCACTGACAGGGGCCCTTCTCAGGAGAGGGAGCCAGGATTGGGCTTCGGGCCATAGGCACTTGGTGACTGGGCTCTTTTCCACAGGACCAGGTTCCCAGGCTGCAGCAGCTGCTGAAGACCACTGGGGAGGTGACTGGCCCTACCTTGCTCACCCTAGCCCTGTTTCCACCTTCTGCTCAGGGAAGCTCCAGTATAGTGAGGCACAGGGAGGATGGGAGAGGCAGGGTTGGAGTAAGGTCTGAGGACAGTCTCTACGGGGGCTTTTCTTGGCCCAGGTTTGGACATGTCATCTAAACCCAGACAAGTTCCTCTCCTGGAGTAGCACCTTTTAGGATCTCAACCACTCCCTGTCCTGACTGAAAAGATGTCCTCAGTGACTTGTCACCAAAGGCCTGACATGGGATTTCTCTCCCCAGGGGCTGGAGGGGTTGGAGGATGCCCCCCCAGTTGAGCTACAGCTTCTCCATGAATGTAGTCCCAGCCAGGTGAGTCCAGATAGACTTCCTGGCCCTGAGGGTACATCTTCTCTCCTGTACCTCTCCCTGTTTAAGTTTATGTTTCCCTGTTTGTGGGAAATTTAGGAGGGGATTTTGTTGTTTTCTGTTTCTCAGGACTAAGGGATCACCTGAATGGTTTCTTTTAGAGGTCACCTCAATGGTTTCTTTAGCCCTTCATTCTCCCCCCACCCCCAGAGCAGCTCTCCTAGCCTTACCTTACCCTAGAGTATCTATCTGCCCTGCTTCTGCTCAGTTGATTTGAGATAGCTTAGCAGACGCAGACTGAATGTCTCTATGTCTTCCCTCCCTCCCTGCCTGGTCCTGTCAGCAGGTGGACCTCCTGTGTGCCCAGCTGCAGCTCCCCCAGCTCTCGGACACAGGTCTCCTGCAGCTCTGCACTTGGCTGCTGGCCCTTTCACCAGATCTTAGCTTCAGCAATGCTACTGTGCTGACCAGGAGCCTCTTTCTTGGACGGGTAGGTGCACTGGCAGGCATTCAGAGTGCCAGTGACAATGAGGAAGAACATCTGAGCCTTCGCATGGGCAGTGCTTGAGAGAGGGCATTGCCAGCCTTGCAGGCATTTATTGGTCTGTCTGGGCAGCCTGGGGCAAGGAGAGGATTCCTAGGCTGTCTACCTACTAGGCATTTGAATCCTTCTTATGCCTCAGAACACTTAAGGGAATCAATCGAGGGGCTTTCAGGGATTGGAGAGCTGGGGAAGGGAGCTATATATCTTTTCCAATGGGTGGGTCCATGTGAATCCTAAATAAATAACTTGGTTTTTATTCCTTTGTAATGTGTATCACCATCTGAAATAGATATCTGATAGAACATTTGTTGAAAGGAACAAAAAAAATTAATTTTTTTCTCCCCACGTGCTATAGATCCTTTCCCTGACTTCCTCAGCCTCACGCCTGCTTACCACTGCCCTGACCTCTTTCTGTGCCAAGTACACCTACCCTGTCTGCAGAGCCCTTCTTGGTCCTGTGCTCCAGGCCCCAGACACAGGTAATTCTGGACCCCGGCCCAGGCCTGGTAGTTCTGCCCTCTCTGTTCCCAGCACCCTTCATCCCAGGGTGGCCCTAGCTGGAGCTGGACATTTAGTGAGTAATAAAGATGCTTATTGCTTCCCTGATGGTCCCAGACTTGGCATTCTATTTCCCCCCCTTATCCCATCTTCTGCCATTCACTCCAGACTTTTCCCCTCTGCTTTCCTCTACCTAGGTCCAGCTCAAACAGAATTACTATGTTGCCTTATGAAAGATGAGTCCCTGGAGTCAGACACAAAGGTTCTAATACTGGGGTGAGTGTGCAGGCCTCTGTCCCTGACCTTCCCCTCTTAAGCCAGGCCTGCTCCTGGCAGTCTGTGGTTATAGCCAACTGGACACCAGGCCTTGTGCCTTTCCACCTATGGGCCCTTGCAAGTTGCCATCCTGTGCATCTTCTAGAGCCCAGGGTTGTAGTCTTTCACAACTGTGCCCTTGCAGGGTGTGGGTTGGCATTATGCCAGGTGTCTTAGAGAATACAGAGAAGAGACTAATGGTCTTTGCTCTTGAGTAGTTCATAGAATAGTTGGAACATGGCACAATGGTTAAGAGTATTGACTCTGGAATCAGACAGACATGGTTTCAAATCTCAACCATGGGATGAGGTTTGAGCCAGGCATGGTGACTCATGCCTGTAATCGTAGCACTCTGGGAGGCCAAGGTGGGTGATTGCCTGAGGTCATGTGTTCGAGACTAGCCTGAGCCAGAGCGAGACCTCATCTCTAAAAATAGCCAGGTGTTGTGGCAAGAGCCTGTAGTCCTAGCTACTTGGGAGGCTGAGGCAAGAGAATCACTTGAGCCCAAGAGTTGGAGGTTGCTGTGAGATGTGACTCCATGGCACTCTACCAAATGCAACAGTGTGAAACTCTGTCTCACAAAAAAACAAACAAAAACAAATCTCAACTTTTTGTTTGTTTGTTTGTTTATTTATTGAGACAGAGTCTTACTTTGTCACCTGGGTATAGTGCTGGTATAGTCCAAACTCTTGGACTCAAGTGATTCTCTTGCTTCAGCTTTCTGAGTAGCTGGAACTATGGGCATCCACCACAATGCCTGGCTATTTTTATTTATTTATTTTATTTTATTATTATTTTTTAAAGAGATATATATATATATATATATATATTTATTTATTTATTTTTTTAGAGACAGAGTCTCACTTTATTGCCCTCAGTAGAGCGCCATGGCGTTACAGATCATAGCAACTTCCAACTCCTGGGCTTAGGCGATTCTCTTGCCTCAGCCTCCTGAGTAGCTGGGACTACAGGTGCCCGCCAAAACGCCTGGCTATTTTTTGGTTGCATTTTGGCTAGGGCTGGGTTCGAACCCACCAACCTCAGTATGTGGGGCTGGCAGTTTTTAGAGACAGGGTCTCACTCTTGCTCAGGCTGATCTGAGCTCAATCAATTCACCTGCCTTGGCCTCCCTCAGTGCTAGTATGACAGGCATGAGCAAGTTACTTTATCTCTCTGAGCCTCAATTTCCTCATATGAAAAATGAGGGTGGCTCGGCACCTGTGGCTCAAGCGGCTAAGGCCCCAACCACATACACCTAAGGTGGTGGGTTCAAATCCCCAGCCCGGGCCCGCCAAACAACAATGATGGCTGCAACCAAAAAATGGCCAGGCGTTGTGGCGGGCGCCTGTGG